TTTTTTCAATAAATAAATCTCATTCATATTTACATAACATTACATTCATTAAATATAACACTTAAATGGTAAAAAAAAACGCAAATTATTATTAATAATATCCAATGTCAGTCACCCAAAATTACGTCATTGCTGCTACACAAAACGCTTTTATTTTGAAATAATTTACTGTCTCTGAAGTGCCTCCTGTAACAAGAGATCATTTGAGGCAGTGCAGTGGACAAAGACATAAGGAAAGTCAGATACTTCTTACTTTGTTTGTTAAAGGTGTCATTTTATCTTCCAATTTTACGTGCGTCTTTCAAGTCTGTCATTAGTGTTACTCATTGCATAGCCCTAGGGGTGAACATTTGAATGGATAATGTATTGTATTGAAGAGTTAAACGATTTTGATATTGACTGAAGCCATATTTGGTCTGACACATTGCAGCCATTTTGTTAAAATGGTAGTGTTTTCTCCAAATTGTCACTGGTGTTACCGTCACTGGTGTTACTCTTCTTCCTGGTAACACATAACACCAGTGACATTCCTATACAAATAAGCATTGTATAAAGTATAAAAATAATTTAAAAAATAAAAATACTTTAAACTCTACTTGTTGTGGATTCATCAAGTTAAGAGTTAGTTATTGCTATTTAACAGGTTTTAGATGTTTTTAGGAGGAATATATTTCAGCAGATTTGTATCACCCAGATTCCACCTTTTCTGTAGAATGACCCAAAGTCTCGTCCCAACATAAAACTAACTTCGGTCCAATGCATCCCGAGCACAGGATCTTTTTGATGTGTAACCTAAACTGCAAACAACACCGGGCCCACATGATGTCAGGTAGGACATCACACAGCCAGTGTTCATTCACCTTAGATTTTAACAGCTAGGCAGTTAGTTTTTAATAGGTTTTAATTTATGAAACTATAAAAAGCTGCTTTTGAGCCTTTACTTTGTCTCTGGTACTCTCTGGTGGGTGTTCTTAAACTGTGTGTCCTTGGTATCTTTATAATGGCTAATCTCAACATCTGTTATGCAGTGTATTTGTGTCTAAAATGCATTCCTGAAAATAATTATGCGGTTATTGTCTGTCCTAAGTGCATGTGATGTGTAATGGTGAACGGAAACATAATTGAACTCTCACACTCCATTCTGTCACACACACACACACACACACACACACACACACACACACACACACACACACACACACACACACACACACACACACACACACACACACACACACACCATATGACCAACTTCAGCAGCTGTGATTATGTTACAGCACCAGTGAACACAATGAGGCACTTTGTTCTTGACCTTCAGGCCTTTCAGTCCCCCGCTGACACTGTTTTAAAATAAAAGCTGAGTGCCATTAAGATGAGTGGAGATCCTTAACGTCAGTGTCTGCTGCTCAGGAAGTCATAATCATACTCCAGTGACTGACACACTGACCCCAGGGGAATGTTAAGTATGGTGACTGGTGGGCCATGTGGACTGACAGCACGATGCTCCCCGCACACGACCCAGGGATGCAGTCACTTCTAATGTTTCAAGCACATATCTTCAGCAACAGGAGCTCCTTTAACACACCAACGTCCATTCATAAAAGAGAATGAAAACAGGCACTGCATTGTTGTTCCATGGTCGTGACCCCAGGTAGTGAATATCAAATAATATGTTGTGTAGCATACAACAATGGAAGCATGCTCCTCTAAATCTGCAGCCCTATGAGTTCAAACACACACAAGCACCACATTTCACCTGAGTGAGAGAAAGATTAGGAGAATGTTGCCATCTAGTGGATTGTTTGGAATACACAATTTAGCTTGAGTCTCACATTAGGTTATTAAATCAGTCAGCATAAAGCTCTACTTCATTCATTTATTACTCATCCAGGACCACTTGAAATTCCTTGCAGAATTTTAGCGGCACGTGATGAGTGAAGTGCTAAGAGCTGCAAATATGAATGTTTGACTATCCAAACGTCCTCCTCATCAATTCCTTTTAAACTTCTGCGTTTTTGCATTCATGCATTTTCCTGTTTGGCGTCTGATTTCTCTTTGACACAGACTGGAATTAAAAGGACACTTAAAATGACCTTATTTGTCCACTGTGTGAGGCGTCTGAAGGTAATATGGCTCATTTTACATCCTTGGTGGGGAACATAGCTCGGCGGATTGAATTACCTTCCCCTCAGCTCATCTCCAGTGAAAATCCCATTTTCCCATGCAGTGATTTTGCAATGTGCTGAGCTGGGTGATATCTCAGGGCCCCTCCACGGTGGAGGAGGGGTGTGCAGACATGCTTACTGCCTCCCTTTTAGAAACCATCATTTCAGCAGGATCGATAGTACGTCCCACTCCACGGCTGGCAGAGTGCACTGCCTCTATTGGGGGGGTTGGGGGTTATGTGTGGACAACTGCACCAAGTCCCAGCAGCACTAGAAGCCAAGGTGAATGATCGCATGCTGCGTCAGACACTCAGCTCCTCACTCTTCTGAGATGCAGTTTCTGAGGAGCGCCATGGGAGGATGTTGTCCTCCAATGATGGTTGCAGGAAACACACTGATGAAGCCACATCAAGTAATATTGCTGTTAGGTACTTAATGTTCTCAGTTTTCCTCTGAGCTGACTTACAAATCTACATTTGGATGAGTAAATATCTGCAACCAATGCGGTTTGCATAAAACCCTTTTTTGAAATTATCCTACAACCCTTTGACTGTATTGGAGGTTGAGCACTAAAATAGATTCATGCTGTAGGTGACAAGACAATATTTCATTAGATGGATTGCGATATAAGACCTGTGCACTCCAGTATTGTAAACCAGCGACGAGAATATTCTTTAGTTATTAGATTAGTACTGCGTATTAATAGTGAGGTTTAGAAAATCATTAGCTTCTGGGACTCTTTTTCTTTCTTAAATGTCATAAACTAATACAAAAATTCCAGTCTTACTTGCTTAGTACAAAAGGCAACACATTCAAATTTCAGTCCAAATCCAAAACATTTTCAATAAAAAAACATAAAAAAATAAAACACTTTGAAAGTGACCTCAAAAATATAGTATAAAAAGAGTTTCTAATTTGATCGATTAACTAATAGTTTCAGCTATCTTTACACGTTTATAGACAAGCAGTTATGATCATTTATGAAATATGTACTAATTATTTTAAGTATTAAAAGGATAAATTGTGCAACTTGTTCACGAAACAAACACATATTAACATTTCTGTAAAAAAGCAGTACATGTGATGTGCAGGATGTGTTTCCTTTCTCGTTTAGCTGAGTGTTCATGCGTCAGCAACTATGTATTTAGTGTGTGCTGTACTCGCGTGACTTTGTGAAGAGCGTTTGAAGGCTGGAGAAAGGAAAGGGTGTCAGTTATAAGAGGTGTACCACTGCGGGACGGGGGCATGTGGATGGGACAGGATGTGTGGTGCAGTACGAGCATCCCCTCTGCTCAGATCGCTGCTCATTTGTCAAGTTGCCTGCAGACTTGAATGGTGCATTGCTGCTAAAACACAGAGAGGCAATCAGCAGTGGAACAGCAGCACACCTCCAGGGAGGGGTCCCAGGTGGACCAGAGCCTCTGTGGGGGATCTGCAGAGGGGTCTGAAGGGGTCTTTTTCTACAGCATGCGCCACAAACTGAAGATTTCTACTGGCCTTAAAGAATTATGCTGTATTACAGGCATTTTATAATGAATACAAATAAGCAGCAGGATTCGCATATTCATACAATTACGTCACAGAACATTTTATTTTTTTGTTTGCACTTTGCAGTCAGAAATAGACTAATTTAAAAGGACTTAACGTCATCCCCGCATCCCCTTGATACTGCAGGGAAACAGAAATCCCAGAGTAAAGGAGAGCAGTTGTTTTCCACTTACACAATAAAACACTACTTTTCCAGTGTGGTTTCAATCATCCAACAGACTTTATTTTCATCAGTTTGGCTCTCCCAGACTCTGTCCTTGCACATTAGCAGCACTGAGATGGTCTCCATACTGGAACAAGCAGAGAAGCTGAGTGAGGTCACAGCGTTAATGGTGGCCTGGTTCTGACGGTTGATGTGGCAGTAGACAGGCAGAGCTCATCCTGCGCATCAGAGCCCGAGACAGAGCCAGGAGGTGCCCGGCCCGTCGGTGCTGAGGGAGGGTGTAGGCCATCCTCAGCTCACACAGCTCGTCAGACAGCATCCAGGACACGGGTCGGCCCTCCTCATCCGACACACAGAGGTTGGGCAGATGGCGGATACAGGCTCTCACATGGTCCAGGCTCTCCTGGCTGCCTCCGTAAGGCAAGTGTGTGTCGACGAGCTCTGCGTGGGATTTTTCCAGGATGGAAATTGGCAGCGGCAATAAGTTCCTGCCAGACAGAGAAAGCGTGAACAGAAGCTAAGAACACAAGGAAATGCATATCATATTTTCTGATCTCACTTTTGCAGAAAATGATGGAGCTACGAATGTGAATACTCTTGCAGATCCACATCCTCCGGGTTGTGGTGGATAAAGGAGTTATAACCTCCATGTTCTGTGATATCGAGCCCACTGAGAGAGGCCAGTTCTTTGATGAGGGGACAATGTGAGCTTGGGATACCTTTTAGAGATGCATGAGCAGAAGTGATGATTTGTTTTTAATTTACCTGCATCGTCATGACTGCTGAGGCCACAATTAATTTTTTTCTCCAAAACACTTATCTGTTACTAGAGCTACCTTTCCCCACACTTAAAGCTGTACACTACCCTATACCATGGAGCTCACTGGAATATATTGTATGTAAAAAGAAAGTCAGTGGTCTGCCGTAACTAAAAGAATGTAACTCATAGCAAAGACGCAAAACTGTTACAAGGACAATGACAGAGACAGTGTATACAGTGTGAATCAATTGTAAAATCTGCTTAGTAAGGTCTGTTTTGGTGCCAATATTATTTCATACTATTATATTTCACTATTTAATACTACATTTGCACCCAAATGACATGTATACTCTAGCATTACTCAGGGATGCAACTATGTAAAGGCAGGTGTGTTGCTCGGGACCGAAAGGGAGCGTCAAATCAAATGTTTTTATGAGCTGTTTTTGAGAAAGCTGTAAGCAGAAACATCCGAGGCAAAGCATTTTTTCATTCAAATTAAAACCTAAACCAACAATGAATTGGCTAAAAATATTTGTTAAAGTATCTACAGCTTGAGTTTAGAACACAAACCGCCCTGCAGCCAGAAATGCTCAATGGCAAAAGGATGTGTATTAATCTATTGGGGAAAATAGTTATAAAAAAAACCCAGTTTTAACTAGTTTGAATGCATTTTTCTAATGTTTTTAAATAAAGTATATACTGTGAATTTTCTATAAAGATGTATTTATTTGCAGCAAACTAATGTGGTTGGGGCTGCTCCAGATAAAGCACAGAGAAACAGACTCACAACAATTGCATTGTTGGAAATGGTTAAAATGGTATGCCTTCATTATGCACACTAACTCTGAATATGAGCCCGTTCCTCCAGTTGACGACTCTCTCATTAAGCAGCAGACTTCTCAGAGTGTCTGGGTTTTTAGTGTAGACGGTGCAGATGTCAGGAATCATCCCGGAGCTGCTGCTGCTGCTGCTGCTGCTGAAACGCTTCATGTAAAGACATACATATACATGAAGAGGCCACTCTGGAGGAGCCCGTAGGTTTTCTTTGTCCCTATGAGCCATACCTGTTTTTGGCGGTAACAAATGGCAGTAGTGAATGTAGGCCAGGAGTCAACACACATCTCCAGATGACACGGGTTGTTGTGGAGAATGTGCAGCACTCCACCCAGAACCTGAAATGCAGAATACAATGCAGCAGGGAAAAGACCAACATAACAAGCTGCTAGCTCTATGCCAAAGAAAATGGCACAAATAATACTGGATACTATATATTCAGCATAGTCATTCATTTTCTATCAAATACAAAGCTGTTCTCTGCGTTAAAATTACAAAATATACATTTTTCATTGAAAAAAATATAGCAGAATTACAGTAATGGACTGTGGAAGTTCCCTGTAGAGGATATTTTTCATCAAAGTCAGGTCCTTGAAAGCTTTCAAGATGATCATTTTGGTTCAGTGTAAACTGCCTTGAAGTTGTTCAGCGTAAAGAAGTGCAACTCAGCAGTAATATTTACACGTGTAATTTACATGTAGCTGGTTAACAGCTTATCCACATATACAAACTACTGCAACAGATAAGATGAACACAAAGTCCAGAGTCTTTAATCTCTATTTAGGGAAATATTTACTTAACCTTTATAGGTTTTTTAGCTGGTTAAATAAAGGATATATACATAACCTGCGATACAATGTGCACATTTAGGTGAAATCCAGACAAAAACCAACATAACTATTATTGGTTTATCTTTTTAATATTGCATGAATGATATGACTCTGGACACCTACTACTTACTACCTAGCCACTCCAGTCTCCCTGAGTTAAAGCTGATCTGAGCGTAATGCTTGGCACCTCAGTAGAGAGCCGACTGGCTGCTGCTGACACCCACAGCTGACGGAGCCGCTGCTCACTCACCACAACAGAGCAGCCAGCTGTCACAAGTTCAGCAACTCAACATAATGTCAATCCATCATAGACCTTTTACTACTATCTCTCTCATACTGAGGGAGAACCCGATGACTCCTCCAACTTCATACGATTCACTAACGAGTCCTACCTTTCAAAACTGGACCTCTAATATCAGGGTGAGTAATGTCCTCAGTCATTCTTTGATAAAATGGGATAAAATATGGTTTCCATGTCATTGAATAAAGGGATATTTGACATAATTCATCTGTTGTGAATCCACACTACAGTTTGTGAGCTTACAGTCATTCGTGTAAAACCACGTTGACCTCTACTGATGTCTACAGCGTGCCTTTTTTACTCCACTTGGCCTTGGGAGGAATCTGCTCGGCTTTATAAAATGAGGTCACCAAAGAAGCATTGGTGCAGTGAAACACACCATGCAGCTTTTATACAGAATCCTTCAGTCTATCTCTACACCAGACTGGCTGAAGATGCAGAGAGAGAGAGAAAGATTGTTTTGTGTGAAGTTAATTCAGTGCTAGCCACAATTACCTCCTCTGACTCTTCCATTGGCAAAGTCAGCTATCCCCTTGAGAATATGCTTTATAATATAACTCATGCACACTGGAGTTTTATTTTATTTCAACTCTCGTCAGACTTTCAGAAATAAATCTTGCTGTGCTGTACACCCACAGCTTTTAAATCTACAGCTTCAAAGACCCAGGAGTCAGTCAAAGCAATTCTCCTCCTTGACTGAGGGCTATTGAGAATTAGTCTGAATTGATGTGTAAACCAAGCAAGCTGCTGAGCTTGTGAATCAATGTGTCTATTATCTTTTCCCGGCAGATCAATGAAGCAAAGGAACTGGCTGTGAATGGCAAAAAAAAAAGAAGCAAACTCACCAGCCGATGGTTAGGCTCTACTCCATTATTTGCACGCGTCAAGACTGTCCATGCTTGATAGATAACCCTTTTTCTTGCAGCATCATATCGGCTTTGTTACAGCCCATGTCTGATGATGACAGCCTGCTGTAATACCACGCACAAAGAAAAACAATCACTTACTAAGTCAAACATGTTCTATCAACCGCAGAAATGCTAATTGTCAGTCATTTTCCCAAGACCTTAATGCAAAACATAAACACTAGTGAGAGCCATACACATTCAATGAAGTGCATCAATGACTCAAATCCAAATCTCTACGTTTATATGATCTATTAGCCTTAACACACATTTACACAGTGTGCCCTTGGCTGGGCTAACCAGAGAGAATATTAAGAAGAGTGCGGAGCCAGAGGCGATGAGGTGACGGTGGCCAGGTAAAGCATAGGGAAGTAATCTAATAGGACATGTAAAAGGGCCCCTCCTCATGGCTTATTCATCACAGGGGATGCCATTACTGAGGAAAAGCGTTGGCTATGTGAAAGATATGCTGGCGGGAGCATTTTCCCCGGTGTCACTGAGCACAGAGGAGAGGACAGATGCTGCGACGCTCGGCAGACTGATGCAGCACTGCATGCAGATCCCACATGCAGGGAACGGTGCTTTGCTCTCAGCTGATGGTTCATTTGCCGGATGCATTCCTATGATTCATTCTGTCACTGACTGATATAGACAGCCTCTTGCAGCTGATCCCAGTGGTCAGAGATGTCCCATTATATGATTTTAGCTGATTCAGCAGCAGTGGCATATCTTGATAGGGCCGCAATACGAGCTATTGCATGTGCAAAGCCTTCGTATAACACACACACTTTAATGTGCTTTAAAACAGAAACCTTGATTTGATGGCTTTAGGGTTTATATGATATGCATGCAGCTTATTTTGCACCAGAGGACAAAAGATCACAGTTCAACTGGGGACCCAGCCAGAACAAAGTCATGGAAAAAAAAGCCTGGCTCCTGCAGTGAGAAGCAGAATACGCTGCACTGCTGCAGAGAACAGCCAAGTTGCTGATGCCTCAAACGCACAGAATTCATAATGGAGCCGCCATTATCTATACAAAGCCCATGCAGCACAGCGCAAACGTCACCCCTAAACCAGCAAAAGTGTACCACAAAGTGCGTTCTTTGTGTAAAGACATTGCACAAAGAGAAGTTCAACCCTATTGGCTGACTAAATGATGGATGATCTCACTCTCACAGAGTTGTGCAACGCGCAAAAGACAAATTTTGTTGGCCAAGATATTTCTATATTTTAGCGCACTGCAGAATAGCACCAGTAGAGCAGTGCACCTTGAGTAATGAAAGGCAGGTAATAGGGACTGCAGATTAAGGTCATTTTCCCTTTTCTGAAGGGGATTTTGTACATTTTGCAATTGTGAAACTTTGAGTGTTGAGATAGCAGTCTTAAGATAGTGACAATCACTCACTGATTGCGTGATTAATGCTAATTTGTCAAAATGTGTTGCGATCTGTGCAATAATCCTGTTTGTCCGGTTTATGCTTTGGTGACATAATTGGTCGAAAATTGATTTTTATAAATTACCAAGGGTCAAATAAATTGGGCGTATTTGAGTTGCTTTAATGTTTTAAAAACTGTGTGTTTTTTGTATAAAGCGTGAAGCAGTTCACAATTGCTGATCTTACGTGTTGTTAAATTACATACATCCGCAACTCATACCTCGAGATATTCCTTCTAGACATTTTCAGAGGTAGATTGAAGAGATATTGTGACAGGTTTCACAGCACATCAGAAGAGGCCTCTGAGGAAAAAAACTGTTCCTCATTGAGGTTTGAGCACACTCATACCTCAAAGCAGCTTTTGCTGAAAATGAATAAAAGGGGGTGGGAGAGTAATGTGTGCTAGGATGGGGGCTCACTTGTGAGGAGTCCTTTACACTGATGATTCTCGGGGGGTGATGCAGAGGAGAACAGAGAGGAGAGGAGGGCAGACCTGGGATGTGCACGCACACTGACCCTGGAGGTTGCTTTCCCCTTTAAAAGTCCCATCCCACTCAGATACGCAGAGCTCATGCAGGATCTGCTGCGGCAGTGGGGGAACACTGCTGAGCTGTGCAGTTTGTGCTGCCAGCAAGCGTGCAAAGAAGAGGAGGGGGGAGCGAGAGCGTATAGGAGGAGGAGTGAGGCAGATAGAGGGAGAGAGAGAGTGCAAACAATGTCATTCTGTTCAGGAGGCAATGCTGCAGTCAACTTTGCAGCGCCATGAAGGCACATCACCAGCAACCAAGAGGCTCCGAGAGAGTGCAGAGAAGTTTCCCTCCTCTACACCCCGGCTGCCATGCCGTCCGAGACTCATCTGCAGGTAGATATTTACCTCTTCTTTATTTTCATTTACCTCTTATGTCTAATGAGTCTTTGCATAGGACGGTGTACTTCTTACTTGGTATATACGTATGTCGGTGTGCCTGCAGTGGGGAAGCTGCCGGCTGCTTCAGTCTGATCAGTGTCAGCCTCCTCTGCACCAGTAATAACCAGCCAGACAGTTAGCAGTCAGGCTCCACTGCTCCCTCATCCATGTTTAACTCATGGTACAGGCTGGAAATAGCAGCCGGCGTGTCAGATATCGGCTGGTTGTAAGACACAAGGACAAAAAGACTAACCATGATGCAAACTCCACTAGCGGGGACCTTTATCTTTGCTGACTTCGCTTTTAGGAGAGTAAAGACAGTCCCAGCTCTCTACTTTTTTCTCTGGTTGTTGTAGCATGTGTTAGTTGTAAATATGATGCTAGACTAAGGTAAGAAGGATTTATTGCATGAGTGATGCTGTGCTGTTCATGCTGAAAATGGGGGGATGAGAATGAGGCTACAGTGGCCTGCATGGGACAGGGGAGCTGTGGTGCAGTCTTGAAGTTGTGCTCTAGCTGCGAGGACTTCTCAGCCGTCCTAAAGGAGGATACAGGGCAGAATGCAGCACTTTAAGGTTGTTTTTGCCGAGTTCATCACAAAACGACAAAAGAGAAGGTTTCTTAGTGCGTTTTTCTATGATTTTATTTGTCGCCTGGATAAAAGCAAATAAGAACCGTCTCTTAGAGGTTACACTTGTTAATATCTCAGGAGCATCAGTATCTCAGCGACTCTTTTAGTCTGAAAGTCCATATTGCATCTTTTGTCTTAATACCATATGGCATATTGTCTACTGCCCTCAACAACGAGCCCTTTCAAAAGGCAATGTTAGAATAGTTTGAGGGTGAAAAAGCTTAATATAAAAGTGAGTCAGTGTTAAAAATGTGCTCTGAAACCCATCTGCGAGGTCTGGATGATGGATCCAGCCAGGCTCGGTCAGCCTTGAGTTCACCTCAGGTAAC